AACGTCAGCCTTCCTGCTCCTCTGATGCTGCTTGGCCTGCTGTGTTCATCCAGCTCTGCACCTTGTTATCTCAGATTCTCCAGCATCTGCAGTTCCTGCTATCTCAGGGAGCATCCTCTTTGACCACACAAAAAAATACACTTGCCTCAGGTCATTTGATTTGATACAAAGGTGCACAATCACGTATGGCTCCATGACACCAGACTTCCCTTAGACCATGTATACTCCTCTTAAACCATACACATTCCACACTGACCATGAATAATCTCTTTATTCATATACAATTCTCTTGATCACAAACTCTATCCACTTCATTTTCTTTCTAAAAGCTCAATAACAATCTAAGTTTGTGGGCAGATGACTGTCCTCCTGTTGCTGACTGTGGTTCTTGGTATATGTGACTCACTGGTGGGTGATAAGATTGGGCAGGATCACCAGTGGTCAGGTTAAATGATAAAGTGACAAGGATGAGGCTCAAAGATCAAGCAAGACCAGCCCAGCACTACATATACTTAAACCAATAGTGATTGCGCCTCTAAAATAATTAATTGATTGCAAATTACTCTGGCATGTTCTGAGGATACAAAAGTCAATTTATTGCAAAGAGATTAATTTTTAAGGTTATGGAAATCCAACAGCTTCACTTTTACCCAATTGTCAAGTTTACATGATAGAATTTTAACTTGTGTATTCTTGATCTCTGTATTATTCTGGTAACATAATTCCTACACTAGCATAGTCTTATAAGTACTGGGCTGGAATAAATGAGAAGCATGGCAGAGGATGAGATGTTTTCTGGAACTGGGTCGTTTGTTGTATTTCAGGGTATGGAAGGATCCTAATCCTGTAAGAGTGATAGAGGATGTAATATTCTAATCAGATGGACAAATTCTTGCAACTGTGGAACGTTTGATTGCGAGAGCAGAATCATTCTCCCGGCATCGGGGCTGGTGGCAGCAGCAGTGAGGTTGTTCTCTTGGCGTTCGGGGCCAGCCACAGCAGCAGAAAAGTTCCTCCAGTGATCGGGGATGGCGGTGCCAGTGGCAGCAGACTCTTCAAGATGATGGCGCTGGCAAAGTGACATCTGCAGCTGACGCAGGACTCGTGGCCTGGCCTGGCCTGGCAGCACAGCCAGGGACTCGTAGCTGCGGGGTGAGTATGGGTTCAGTGGAATCAGTGAAGTGATGGTGAAGAGATGGCACCCAAAGTGGGACGATGGCTACGTTGGTGGGTCCAGTGCAGGTGGCAGCCAGGGGGTGGAGGTCTCCCTTGCGGCTGGGTGCCAGCACGGCCTGGGTTGGAAGGACTGATACTCATAACATTGTACTTCTTTACTTTTCTAATTTATTCCCATGGCCATAATGCTGGACTATTTATTTCTTTACTTTTCTAATTTTTTTTTGTTTCCTAAGAATTTGATCTTAGGGATCTGTACCCAGGCACCTTTGTACCTAAGATGGTGCTGTAATGCAGCAACTGTAAACTTTTCACTATACTCATTTGAGTACGTGTGTCAATAAAGCTAATTTAATTTAGTTCAATTCAATTTGGCCAAAACAAGTGAAGCCGTTCCCAAAAATGACAGTCAAATCAAGATATTTGGGGATAATAGCAAACATGAAACAGAACTTAGATTGCAATCAGAGTCAATTAACTCTGTGCCTTCCAGACAAGGAAATCATGTACAAAATTAAAAAAAAAACACCAGCTAGCAATTTCCCAGTCATGTGTGTGCATTATAGGATACAAGACTACACAGAGATTCTGGAACTTAGGTGAGGGAAAGCCACATGATACCTAATCCAAAAGTAGCAAATGTTAAGTATAAGCTCTGGAATGCCAATATTGCCTGCCTTTTAGGGAAAAGGGGGTCTCACTGATTTAGGTCGTTCCCTACAATATCGACGCAAGGACAGTCTAAAATGAGAACAGTCTCAGAGATACAGATACTCACCGATGACAGCATTTGAAATGGTGATCTTTAGCCACAGTCGGTTACGGATCTCTAATCCCGAGTCAGACAACTGCATGGCCTTGACAATAACAGGCATGTCACTCTTAACTGTGAGTGGAGTATCCTCATACTCTGAACAAATGAACACAAAAAATAAAGGATCCGACCCTCACAGATTCATCAAACTATTAGAGAATCTATCCCAAAACTGCATACCCCATCAGACCAGTTAGAGTGGTAAAGGGCTTATTGGAAAGTTAAAGCTAGTACCTGCCACCAAACAGGGAGACAACAGTTTAACCTTAAAGCTTTTTTCACCCTTCAATTAAATCAAAGCTATTTGTATAAAACACCACCGACCAGTTCACACTGGTTCTTACTTTAACTGACTTTGGAAGAGATACTATACATGGAAATGTTATGAGCTAATGATATCATTAATGCCACTGTCCCACTTCAGCATGAGATTCAGGGTAGGTCCCATGAAGCCAAACCAGTTGGAGGCAGAGGTCAAGGTAAAGTTTATTATCTAAGGTTTTGAGAGGATTTCTTCTGGGCCAGAAGATCCTCTGGACGGACACCATCAAAAGCCTCAGGCCCTCCAATACCACTGAGTTTCTATCATGAGCTTCCACTTCCCATCAAGACCATTAGGATAGGGATTTCATGGAGGGAATGCTACTTCAATCCTGTCAGCATCAGGCAGTTGACAGCAGACCTTGGATTAAAATTGGCCCATGGTGAGCATCCTGAGGGAATAACCCCCATATCCAGAGGACATTCCTCAAGTTAAAAATAAGGCTAATATATTACATTCAGAGAGACAAGACTAGAGGGCCTCATGACCTCACACCAATGTAAACTTGAACCCTTCAAGCGAAACTTGAACCCTTCAAGCAGTCCATCTCCAACACACTCAAGCACAGGGGATCCTGAAACAGAAATGTTACTTACTTTCTGAATCTGGGACAGAGCTGGTTAGTGAAGAGCTGGTGGAAGTGATGGCACTGGTGGTGGGGCTCATACCATAGCGGGGAAAAGTTCCCGTCATAGCAGTGGTATGAGATATCCAGGCCGCTGGGTCGATGGGTCTCACTGGTTCTGCTACAACACAAAGTGACAGAAGGAAGATTAGATGAAGAGGTGAGCTCAGTTCAAACAGAAGAGAATGAGAAGAGCAACAAAATTGTACATTTACAACGAGTTCATCAGCAGCTGAGAGAAAAATCAGACCCCAGCGTTATGCTGCAGGTAAAACTACAACTGCAGCATCACCTCCAGAGAGCAGCAGTTAAAGAAGTTCATCAGAGATGGACAATTTACTTAAATAGAGCTTGCACTACTTCTTCAATGGTTTACATACTGCAACAACACAGCCCAGATTGAAATAACAGGCTCTGGGTAAACCAGTCTAAATGTTGTTTTATAACATGCCTGTTAAGTTCCTTGGAATGCTGGAATGAAAGGCAAGTTGTGGCTGGTGTTGTAGGCAATTCACTGTTTTTCTTAACTTTCTCCACAAAGCACAGGCACAAAGTTAGAGACTGAGAGGGAGAAATGGAGGGAAAGGCAAATGGAAAGGCATAATTAAGGGAGAGGAGGGCAGAGACAGAGGGAGAGAAAGAGACACACACACACACACTATTGAAAAGGAGTACAGAGGAAAAGAAAGCCAGACGGACAGAAATAAATGTTAAATAATGCCCTGTAGGACTTTTAATTAAAGAAAAACACAGAATTTCTGTAGAGTTAAAACACTAAACTGTGATATTATTATTAATAAAAAGAAAAATTGGAAGCTCAGCACATGTTGTAGCTGTGATCTTCACAGTCATGGAGCAGCTGGATTGAAATCTAGCTGTCAGACACAGAACCAAAAACATCAGCCAAGTCAACATTTATTCCTTATAAACTACTATGTTTAAAATGATGAAAATGTTACTTACTCCTGGGGATGGTAAAATAGCTCCTCGGGGTGGGGTCCCAACACTTGGCTACTGTTAAACTGATGGGTCTGGAGAAGCAAACGTAGTGGAACAGTTATCAGCTACTGCAAAGATTACACAAACAGAGGATTTGAAACATTTGTCCAGGAATCAAGAAAAAAGGAAACTGAAGGCCCTTATTATTCAGAACGTAGATGGAACACTGTGTGAAGAACTGTGTGCACAGGCCAGGCTGATCTCAGGCATCTGCATGAAACTGGTAAGTATAGGATTCAGTTGAGGTGCCTGTTACGTTTGAATAGGTAGATAACACATGTTCGACTAAAAATGGTAATGTGATTCTGCAGTACCACTCATCTAATTTTCCTGGGTTAATAGCTCTGCATGCAGACTCCAGGTGGGACTTCTAGCTCCAAGGTAGAATGGTTGCTCTACCCTAAGTAACTCCAGGGGGTGCTGCATTAGAAGAACAAACCCTGAATATGAGGTGAAAAAGGATTTTAGACCTCTCTCCCTGGAAGAGGACAAAGTTAGAAATCACACGGCACCAGGTTATAGTCCAACAGGTTAATTTGAAATCACAAGCTTTCGGAGCACTGCTCCTTCGTTAGGTGACTTCACTTGATGAAGGAGCAGTGCTCCAAAAGCTTGTGATTTCAAGTAAACCTGTTGGACTATAACCTGGTGTTGCGTGACTTTTAACTTTGTCCACCCCAGTCCAACATCGGCACCTCCACACCCTGGGAGAGGAGTTCACTGCGGGGTCATCACCCTCCATGCAATAGTTCATTGCTTATTGCTATTTCTTAGGGGTGACTTTGAGCCATCTCCATTCTTCACAGAACGTTTCTCAATCCCACATGATGGAAGTTAGTGAAACATGTAACTTACCCTGGTTTCGAGACAATTTCCCGAAGAATTCTCACAGCATCGTCATTGCTCATGTTTTCGAAATTGACATCATTGACCTAAACCATAGAACAGGAAAAAAAAAGTTCAAATCAAGGGGCTGTTTAAACTCTAGCACTCAGCAAAGGGAGACAATCCTGGGGGTGACAGCTTTTAGGTAAAATCAGAAATTGTTTTAAATTAAACCAACTGAATCTTGAGATACAACCAATGCCTCAAAGTTGCTTCTCACTTATGTTAAATATAATTCAAATTTTATGCAGTGATGGACAAAAAGACAAGGAATTTTTAAGTATGTTACTGATGTGCCAAGAGAAATACTAAGAATGAGTGACTTAGCCATCATCATTGCAAGTTTATTGGGTGACATGATCCACAGGAAGCAGGCAAAATCACCATATGCTGGATATTTTACACCATTTTGTACTTTTGCCTATAATATGGCTTGAATGTCACCTCTACTTGAATATCAACCAGAAGACACTAACAAACAGAGGTTAGCTCATTCCTCCTGCAAAGCAGTTAAAAAATCACTGATATTTCTGGTATTTGACATATAAAGTGATAAATGTGAGATATAAATTTTGTACTTTGTCTCAGTCAAATTTTTTAAACACATGTCTCAGCTTGCCTTTCAATTGAGTCGACCAGTAAGAAAAATCAGATAAACCTGAGAAACTCAGGTAAGCAATAAAAAGCCAGGTAAGGTCCAGATCAGATTACACTGAAGTTTAAATCTGCAGATGTGACTAATATTGTCCCTCATTCAGAGGGGCAATAGTAACCTGTAATTACTGCAAAGCAATGCACTGCTTCCATTACCAGGCTATTAAACCCATTTTCAGTCACTCAGAGATAGCAAGAACTGCAGATGCTGGAGTCAGAGTCAATACAGTGTGGAGCTGGAGGAAGACAGCAGGTCAGGCAGCATCAGAGGAGCAGGAAAGTCAACGTTTCTGGTTTACACCCTTCATCAGGACTCTGAAATGTTGAGTTTCCTGCTCCTCTGATGCTGCCTGAGCTGCTATCTTCCTCCAGCTCCATACTGTATTGATATTAAACCTGTTTACCGGTCAAGGTAAACAGTCGGGTGAAGTGTTTATCCTAACAACTTCAAAGCTGAGAAAGGCCATGCAATGGCACATGTTGTACCTGCCAAATAAAATATGATAATATTCAATCTCTGGATTCATTTCAATTTTTCTAGATATTGACAAGGCAAAAGCACAGTCTTGTTTAAAGGGAGCAAGGGCTTGGACATTGAAGTGGCCCGAAACACTGAATCAAGAAATACCTCAAAGCTAAAAAAAAATTGTAGATACACATACCATAGAAATTTCACCATCAAAAGCTCTAATTTCATTTATTTAAATTAACAAAGAATGATGGAAGTTCAAATGCAGGAGTCTACAGGGAAGTGTGAAAAGCTATAACATAGTTCATGACAGGTCAAGGGTCAAGGCCAGGACTTGACCAGTGGAGAGTCAAATCAAGGCCAAGACACTAAGAGAGAAGGGATGATGTTCAGGGTGCGGGACACCAAGAGATAGATATGTTCCAAGGAAACAACAGCATAAAGGGAAGGGTCAACAAGGTTCCATGCCCAGAGTGTAGGAGGGAAGCATCTGGACATTGGGCAGGTAAAGTTTTATTTTGTTAACATAGAAGTTTTTGTTTAATAACTATCCCCCTGGTAGATCCTGTCCACGAAAATTGTGGCCTCTGTCAGGACCTAATTCTTCACACATTTTGTGACCCGCAGAATTCCACCATCAAACAACAGGATTACTCTCAGAATTTCTACAGGATACAGAATAAAACTTGCATATCATCTGGAACTAATACTCTACCGACATGGTTTCCACGGCTGCAGTAGTATTTAACCTGGCTCCAAGGGCTGCAACTTGTGTACTTCAGCTTGAGTTAATTCATCCTTAGTTAAAAGTTTTATTTGGAATGAAGAGGAGGTTCGGACACTGACCTGTAGAAGCATGTCACCAGGCTCAATTCTGCCATCAGCTGCCACTGCTCCTCCCTTCATTATTGACCCGATATATATCCCACCATCTCCCCGATCATTACTTTGACCCACGATACTGATCCCCAAGAAATTGTATTTCTCTGAACAGGAGGAGGAAAATAAATTACAATTGGTTTAAGCTTGTGACAGTAATAAAAGATCCTGACTTAATGGAGCAGGTAACAGTCTTCAACTACATGGCAGGGTAAACAATGAATAAAACAGGAAATTAAAGCAAGCAGTCATCATTTGTCTGGAAATGCCACTACACTATATGTTACAGTTCTCAAATGACAGATGCAGAGGTCATTCAGAGATAATTAAACTGTTTCACCCTGTTGCAAATAAAAGCTATTTTACGCACATTTATAAACAACGCTAACATTGGGTGTGTGCTTTTGATTGCTAGTCTTCTTAGAATACTTTATGTCTACATATATACAAGGCTATGGAAGGGGTATACCAAATTGCCTGTCCATTCCCAGGTTAGTATACTAACAGAATAAGTTTCTAAATTTCAATCAATAAAGACTTACTTCCTTGAATTTAATTAACGCACATTTTGTAATACATAATTTCAAAGAAGTTCATTTGTTTCTACCACTGTACACATAAACGCAACAATCAACTTCACCCAGTGCTCAAAGCATATTCCAACAAATCCCCAATAAACCGTCCCCGTACTGACACCCAAAAATGCTCCCACTGTTGAACCCCACAAACATCATAACCTCACTATGGCTAATTGGCAATAGCCCCCATTCTGCCTCCTAATCTGCTCATTACATTCATATTCCTGGAACACACCTGCCTTCACACAACCATAACACATAATGTTCACCTTCACCTACACATTGGTAAAGAATAAGAGTCACTCACCCATGTTGAGTGTCACAGTGATAATATTGAGGGACATAGTGGAATCTGTGATGCTGCTCAACGATGAGGACTGTATGAAATAAAACATTTGTTGGGTTGTATAAAAGAAACGAAGTACAACATTTTGATTTGATTGGTCTCTTCACACTTTTCTAAGAAATATTTATTTCTTAGAACTACTTAAATATTTTAAAAATATTCAAATATTTCTAAGAAATTCAAAGAAATTAAGCCTCACATTTACATAATGGATTTCACAACCTCAAGATGCCACTTCATGGCCAATTAAGTATTTTTAAAGTGAAATAACTGCCGAAATGTAGGAAGCGAGACAGCCAAATTTTCAAATAAGAAGCTCCCAGATGCAGCGTGACTAATTTCTTGATTATCTATTTTATTGCATTACCTGAAGGCTAAAAATTGGTAAGGCTGACAGGGAGAAAAAGGTGTCGATGGGGGGGGACGAATATGATGAGGTGGCAGGGTTGGGCGATATGATGAGTGATAAGTTTGAGCAATAGGTGGGTAGGTGAAGTTTCACAATATGATGAGGTGATGAGGTGATGAGCTTGGGGCACAGGCTGAGCAACTGTGAGCTTGGGGCACAGGCTGAGAGGTGGAGTTGTTCTCTCTTACAAAAAGGGCTACCTGTAATTCTGACCTCTTTCCCATCCCAGATTTCTTTTGGGAACAATACAGCAAGTCAAAATGAAACACTATCCATTCCCTCTCTCTTTTTCCACCTTATTTGACTAAGCTTAAAGCTCTGAAATTTCCTCCTCAAATATCTCTACTTCCATTTTGTCTTGCTTTATGATGCTTCTTAAAACCTACGTATTTGACAAAGCCTTTGGTTACCTATCTGAATAACTCCTGATGTGATTTAGTGTCAATTTTTTCTGTTAACATTTCAATGAAATGCCTTGGGATGCTTTCCTACTTTAAGGATGCTATAAATGCAAGTTGTGGTTGGCAATGGTCTTTTCTTACATTTAAACGTTTTGATAGCCTCAAGCTCCATTATGCTCTCTAAGGGCCTGGCTCTCGGTTAGCCAACTCAAAAGGAAAATTCTTCATATAATAATTGTTATAAAGTATTCTGCACCTTTGACAAGTTTGTCTTCTTTATAACATTGCTGAAAAACTTGAAATAGTGAACGAGAAAAAAAGGAAATAAATGGCTAAATTTGTAACCCTATTAGTATTATATATGTGTGTTTTAGGCTGTTGATGGTGCCCGGATTCTGATCTTCCTTCTAATGTGGCAGCTGCTGATTACAATCTTACCCTGTCCATCTGTTTCATACGATGTCTCCGCCTCCTGCGTTTGTGTCTCCTCATGAGCTGAGAGGAAGCACTCTGCTCCACTGAGCTACTTAACCTAAAGAAGTAAAGAAAGCCCAGTCAGCATTCTGCATTGGACTGAGTTAAACCCAGATCATATCATTATCACATGCTTCACAAGACCAACCTCCAGCTGCAGAACGGTAGCAGGATCATATATTTCTCACTTTGTACAGGATCAGAATTGGGACTGCAACCGACACTCATGACCTAGTCCAGGATATCTGTCAAACTCTCCACTCTGCATCAGGACTGAGGCCACCACATTTACATGTGTGTATAGTTTCTTACAGGTGCATTTGGAATTCTCCATCTCACCAATCCTACTGTCTCTCAATAGTGACAGTGGTTCAATTCCACTATTCTTGCCAGCTGGTTGAGTGTTTCTCTTCAAAGGCCTCTAATTGCTTAGAGAAATACTTGGTAAATCTTTTTCACTCAGCTTCTCTAGAATAATTAAAAACCAAAAGAACTGCGGATGCTGTAAATCAGGAACAAAAACAAAGTTGCTGGAAAAGGGTCAGAGGAAGGGTCACCAGACCTGAAACGTTAACTCTGTTTTCTCCTCCACAGATGCTGCCAGACCTGCTGAGCTTTTCCAGCAACTTTGTTTTTGTCTCTAGAATAATTATTGTATAAAATAATAAATACTCATGCAGAAGCTACATAGCAGGTCAGTGCGAGACCCTAGGCCAGCATTTACTGCCCATCCCTAATTGCCTAGAGGGTAGTTAAGAGTCAACCACATTGCTATGGGTTTTGGAGTCACATGTAGGCCAGACCAGGTAAGGATGGCAGTTTCTTTCCCTAAAGGGCATTAGTGAACCAGATGGGTTTTTCCAACAATCGGCAATGGATTCATGATCATCATTGGACTCTTAATTCCAGGTTTGCTAGAATTATTTATTCAATTTCCACCATCTCTTCTGGTGGGACTCAAACTTGGTTCCCCAGAATATTACCTGGGTCTCTGGATTAACAGGCCACCGATAATACCACTAGGCCGTTGCCACCGCTCTCTTTGTGCTATTTAGTGATGGCATTGCGGCATTGCAGCATATGCAGCTTTACGACAACTGACAAAAGACTGGAGTGGGAGATGTGGAGACGTTTTTCTGACTTGCTTTGACCTGAAAGGTACTATTATAAAAGCTGAGGGAAGAAGATACAGAATTATCTATCAAGAGGAATTCTACAAATATTTAAAGGGGAAACATTTTCAGAACTGTACGGAGAAGCCAGAGACATGGCAAAAATTGGAAAGCTCTATAACAGAGCAGGAACAGATAGGCTGAACAGTCTTTCTCTGTGTTGTATCACTTGATTATTCTAAATTATAGAAACAAACAATAAGACACAGACTCTAAGCCCAGCCTCAACTGCACACTTTCAATATCAAAAAATCTTTCACTGACTACTGTTGAAAAGCTCTCTTGGCATTAAACTCAAACACAAATTATTTCAGTCTGCTATGTTGATATTGGTTTTAATAATCACTATTTTACAAAGCCCAAATCAGCTCCCTGATAAAAACTCGACTCAGCAACAGTCCTAAATAGTCAAGAAAGATTTCTGTAGCTACAGTCAATTAAGAACAAATAAAAAGGACTAACACTGCTTTCAAAATCATTAGAATCAACACAAAGTGGTGAGTGAAGAGCTGGACTGAACAGTTAACCAGTAAAGTTTTAACTACAAAACATTCATATCTTCTTTGCATTATTAAAAGACTACAACCACCTTTCTCTTGGCTCAGTTGGGAAAGTCGCTGTGAACAAGTCTCAGTTCTACCATCAGAAGCTTACAAGCTCCACCTTGGTTGAGCCTATGGCAGCAACTGGCCTCAGTGCCCAGGCTAGAAAAGAGAAACCAGCCAGGGCTCTTGTAACTGATCACTATTCAGTACTTCTGCTGCAAAGTGCGATACTGTGCTCATCGGGAGACAGGAGTGGCTTTGGCTGTGATTCTGTCACAGGTCAATAACTGTTTCAGCTCTCACTTGAATAAGGTATTGCAGGGCTACTAGCTCTCCTGCAAACCAAACCCAGACAAGAAAACAGTGGCTTCAGGAGGCGAGGGGAGCTGATCAGTTACAGTCATCACCTTAGAAGAGGAGGGAGAGCTGAACCCCAGTGAAATTCAGCACTTTCAGGAGGTGAGGGGGAGCTGAACCCCAGTGAGAGTCAGCACCTTCAGGAGAGGAGGAGAACAATCGGAGTAAGATTTTTACAGCTATGGAGAAAAGGCTGGGGTGTGGCACTAAATGAATTGCATCTTCAAATGGGTTAGCACAAATAGATAACTTGACACACAAAATAAAATGCAAAACTGCAGTGAGGGGGATAGATAATGCAGACCACCTCAGTGTTATATTATTGCTTTAAGTATGCCAATAAGCTAAGGACCAAGATGACACCACATGACTAGAAGACATGTGAAGTTGAAGCAGCAGCATACTAGACTGACAATGTGTACAAAAGTTGCTGTGTAGTGACAAGTTATCTGTGTGTTAAATAAACCTACTTCAGATTTCAAGTAAATTGAACCTGTGCTACTCCCCAATTAAGTATGTGTGTGTTAGTTTGATGTTAAGGAACATAACACAGGGTAAAGTCGCTGTTGTCACAGAGGACTATAGGCCTGCTCTCTCATTAGACAGATGCCTGGTGGTGAGTTTAATCCGAAGAAGGTCATCATGCCTCGGAGTAGGGCAAGGTTGAAAAAGTCCTTCATGGTAACCTCAGCCAGTCTGGGAACTGAACCACACTGTTGGTGCTACTCTCCATCGCAAACCACTCATCCAGTCAAATGACTAACTGATCCCCAACTCTCAATATAAGAAGAGCACTTCATGCAGTAAACAAAGCTCATGCCCTGCTCCGAGTATGCTTTACAGAATTCTATTGTACTATTGTAAAATTTGGTTTGGATTCTGTGCAACAAGGAAGGAAGACTCAAATTTCTAAACAGCCTCTCTTCCTCAGGAAACCCAGAATACTTCACAGTCAATGAACTACCCTTCAAGTGTAGTCATAGCAAATTTCCACAAACAGAAAGTTGATAAATGCTCAGTTAATTAGTTTCTGGTAGTGTTGATCGGTGCACTAGTCCCTGCTCTTCACCCAAAGGTAGCTGAGCTCTTATCACATCCACCTCAGCTTAAATATTCATCTGAAAGATCAGCCCTCTGACAATGCAACATTCTTTAGCCTGGAGTTTCCATCTAGATTAGAGGATCAAGTCCTGTAGCGGGAGTCAGATTCTCAGTCATCTGACTCAGAATGAAACTTCTATCAATAAAGTTCAGCACCTAGGGAAGATGGTCTCCCTACCATACTTTGCTCAGATTCTGCACAGTGTTTGGTGAAGGGATGTTTTAATAAGGCTTCCTTTCTTGTAACAGAAGACCGTAAAAAAAAATAGGAATAGGTGTAGGCCAGTCTCCTTGATCCTGCTCCACCATTCAATTAGATCACAGCTGATCCGACATTCCTCATGTCCACTTTCCGGTCCTTTCCCCTAAATTGCATGACCTACATTTTTCAGCTTATACTTTAACAAACTTGCCACTTGACATGTATGATCAGCTCAAATTTCTGGTTTGAGCTTAAACTGCTGGATCTATGTCAGTCTAAACAGCGAGGTTTCTGAAGTCTCCAGAACTGAAGCAATAGGTCAATTAATCACCTTCCAAATGGCCTCAGTCCAAACAGGTTTGTTTTCGATGGCAAAGTGAAGGTGAGCATTCAGGACACTGTTCACTATTGTCCCTTTCCTCGGATAACAGCCAGCTGGGTTAGAAGGAATTACAGCAAAGTTTGTGTTCTGCTGCCAGTAAACACTAAATACCTCACACCCTCCAAAATGTTTGCCTTAGCCATTAAAACTCTAGAACTATCTGGTGTGGTATTGAGCCAGGAATAAGATGCACGAGATTCATTGGCATGAAACAGGATGACTGGTCATAGAAGTGAAGCAAAAGAAACTGGAGCTCTTTTCAAGATGTTCAGGATTACAGTAGGTTTTTGTAAAGCTAATCAGGAAAAACTATTTTTACTGGTCAGTGGCAAGGGCACATAATGTACTCTGGATAGGGAACTTTAATGTCCATCACCACGAATGGCTCGGTAGCACCAAAACTAAAGGACACGGCTGTTAGATTGGATCGCACTCTGTGGGATAAAAGAAGGGTACATGAGCTTGTCTTCACCTGTCTAGCTGCGCCGATGCAGTTGTCCATGACATTTATGAGTAGAAGCATCACTGCTCAGTCTTTGTGGAAATTGGGTCTCACTTTCACATCGAGGATACCTCCCATTGTGTTGAATGAGGTAGAGATTTTGATCTAGCAGCTCAAGGCTGGGCTTGTGTGGTGCATTGTGAGCCACCATCAACTGTACTCAAACACAATCTGCAACTTCATAGATTGACACATGCCACGTTCTACCATTAACACCACGCCAGCAGATCAACACTGGATCAAACAAAACTGCATTGGCAGCACTAGGCATACCTAAAAAGGTGTCAACGTGGTGAAGATGCAAAACAGGAAGCAGCAATTGATAGACAAAGCCAAGCGATTCCATAACCAGCACATCAGAGCTAAGCTATGTAGTCCTGCCACATCCAATTGTGAATGGTGGCAAACAATTAAACAACTCACTGGAGGAGGGGGTTCCAGAAATATTCCCATCCTCAATGGTGTGAGAGTCCAGCACGTCAGTACAAGAGGCAAGGTTGAAACATTTGCAAGAATCTTCAGCCAGCAGTGCCAAGTGGACAATCCATCTCAGCCTCCTCCTGAGGTTCCTCGTATCATAGATGCCAATCGTCACTCAATTAACTCCACATGATATCAAGAATGGTTAGACTCAGTGAATATTGTAAAGGCTTTAGCCCTTGACAACTTTCTGGTAATAGTACTGAAGAGTCTGCTCTAGAATAAGTCACACTGTTCCAATGCAGTTGCAACACTGATATTTGCTCAGCAGTGTCAAAAAAATTATCCAAATATATCCAGTATTTCTAACAAAAAGC